AAACCAGAAACCCTAAACATTTAGGTTTCCAGTTAGGGTTTCCTAACCCTAATCTAAACCAGCCGCCTATCACAACCGTTGGATCTGCACGATCCAACGTCCAGATTGCCCCAGATGGAAACCTAGGGTCTGATACCCTAGGGACACGCGGCCGCCGTTGCTATCTCGCCGCCTCCGCCGCTGCCACGTCCCAACCGACGCTCAGAAGCTCCAACGCGCCGTCCACGCCACGGCTACGGGGTGAGTCACCACTGGTAGTCCGGTGACTCACCGAGACCCCTCTTCGGATCGGTCCGACGCTACAACGTGGTGGCTATAAAAGCCACCACCCCAACCTGAAAAAAAGGACAGACAGAGAAGGGACAGAGAGACAGAAAAAAAAGAGAGAGACAGAAAAAAAAAACAGAGAAGATACAAACTATTACCAACGATCTCAGCAGCAAAAAACCAGAAGAAAAAAAAAGAAAAAGAAGAAGAGACTTACCGAGGAAGCCTCGACCACCGGATCTCGTCAGAACCTTCGAAACATCGAAGGTATTTTGTAGATTCGCTCCGATAGGAGCTTTTAAGAAAGAACACCGGGACCGTCCTTAGGACGGTCCGATCTATCTATTAGTATAAAATAATTTTTTCCGGCCACCGGATGCGGTGGCCGGCGGTGACATTCACGGCGGCACACGGTGGCCGACCGTGACGGCTTCCCTCCGATGAGGGAAGCTAGAGAGAAGGCAAGAGTTTAAAACTCTCTCAGTTTAGAGAGGAGAGTGAAATGAAAAATGAAGGCTGGCCCTTCGGGCCAGCCGGTTTGGACCATATATAGTCCTTCCCGAACGACGTCGTTTCGGGAAGGACTATGCGCGTAATTATAAAATAGTTAAACCCGTCCGCAGTCCTCCGAACTTGTAAACTTACATTTTAGTCACTAAATTGAACGGCGGCACACGGTGGCGACCGTGACCGGCTTCCCTCCGATGAGGGAAGCTAGAGAGAAGGCAAAGAGTTTTAAACTCTCTCAGTTTAGAGAGAGAGTGAAATGAAAATGAAGGCTGGCCCTTCGGGCCAGCCGGTTTGGACCATATATAGTCCTTCCCGAACGACGTCGTTTCGGGAAGGACTATGCGCGTAATTATAAAATAGTTAAACCCGTCCGCAGTCCTCCGAACTTGTAAACTTTACATTTTAGTCACTAAATTGAATTTATAATATTTTAATTCAGTCTTCGAATTTTAATTTCTTTATTTTAGTCCTTCATATTAAATAATATATTTAGGATAAATTACATATTTATCCATTAATTTTAATAAATAATATTTTCAATCCCTAGTTTATATTTTAATTTATTTGATTCTAATATCTGAATTTTAGATAATTTTATTTTAGTCACCAAATAAATAAATAAAGAAATAACATATTTAATCCCTATAATTTTGATTAATATAATTAGATTTTTAATTTTATTTATTGTAATTTAGTCAGTTATTTTATGTTTTCATTTATTTTATTGTTTTTTAAATATTATTTTAGTAGTATTGTATTTTTATTTATTATATTGTTAAATATTTTTATATTCATAAATATATAATAAATAGTATTTTAATATTTATTTTTAATATCAAAGAAAGGACGTCTTAATACAACTGGATGTCCTATTTCTGATATTTTAAAATTAAAAAGTAAACAATATTAAATTAATATTTATCAATATCAAAGAAAAGAGCTGTCTTAAGGCACCTAGAAGTTCTTTCGGATATTTTAAATAAATAAAATTTTTTATATAATTTTGAAATAATAGAATTATAAATTAAATATATTTTTGAATTTTTAAAATTTTAATAATAGAGACAATTTATAATTAAAAAGTACCAATTTTGGGCGTTGTAGGGGTGCTAATCCTTCCCTAAACGTAACCGACCACGAATCCCTTTTTATTATTAAAAAGAACAAATTTTTGGTTATAAATGCAGATCAGTTCAATTTTTTTTTAATTGATGTTTTCTTAACTCTTTAAAAAAAAATTTTTAGGTATTCGACCTACCTGACCCAAAAAGGCCGATGGCGACTCCCAAATTATTTTCAAAACCATTTATTATTCACATCACTTTTCCCGCCAAACAAATAAATTCGTGCCCGGGCGAAAACCGGTTACGACAACATCAATGTTTTTTAATATTTCCAGTAAAGTGTCCAACAATAACAAAACCGGTAGAAAAAATAACAAAATCGGTAAAACGTCCAATAATAACAAAATCGGTAGAAATAATAATATTTTCGGTAATTTTTTTACTGATTTTGTTATTTAAATAATAACAAAAATAGTAACGCCTTTTTAGCCTATATTAAAGCTGCCGCACGTAATCATTTCCCACAAAAAACGAAATAGAGATAAAAACACAGCAAAAAGAACAACTTTTTTCCTTTTCTTATGTAAACCAAACATGTATAAAAACCCAACCAAAAATCATGTAAAAATTCATTTCGAAAGTCAATCAAAAAGCTAGAAAATTCAAAAGCAACTTACACCTATTCAAGGTATTTTCCTCTTTGCTTTTTTTTTTGGCATGCAAAGTTTTTTTTTTGGAACAGTAAAAACCCAAAATAAGAAAAAGGTTTGAACTTTTACCTAGTTGGGGTCGTTAGGTAAGATAGAGGTGCCATCTTTAGGGCGCTAGGTCGCGGTGGTCGGCCTTTTAGGGGGAGGTTTCTTTGTATACTTTTTTGTGGGGGTCGGGTTTAGGAAAATAGGGAAAGGTGGTCGGCTGTTAGTGGCAGCTGGGGATAGCGAACCACTGACTTACGGCGGAGATGAAGCCTTTTTGGATTTGGCTGAAAGTAGATAGGTAAAACAAAAGGGGTTTTCTTTGAGTTTTTGGTCTAGTTTTGGTTTTAGAGGAAGAAAGAGCTTGAAAGGGGGCTGGACGGAGATGAACTGGCCACCGACGTACGGTGGCCGATTGGCTTTCTTAGATTTTTGGCTTTGCTGTGTTTTTGCATTATAGTCACCATATTCCCCTTTTTTATTTATTCTAATTTAGGCACTCATCTTTAATTGATAGCAATTTCATCACTTATTTATCATATTCCTGATCTATTTGTTTTAATCTTGGCACCTTGTTTTCATTCCTTTAAATTTGGTCACCAATTGATTTTGTTCTTGCTTTATTTATTTTTAATTTCAGCATGTTATGTTCCTTTCTTTTAATTTAACCATTGACTTGCATTTAATTTCATCTTAGCGTTTGAATATTCAACAATCTTGCGGTGATCATCCCCAAAGTATGATATGCATTATTTATGGTTCGAGTTAATTTTCTAACATTAACCCGCTAACTAGTTTATTTCATTGTTCGAACTAATTCTCTAACATTTAAATATTTTTATTGCTCAAACTAATCCGCTAACTTTCTAACATTCGAATATTTTATGACTTTCTGGTGACCTGCCCCGAGGTATGATCTACATTATTTATAGTTCGGGTTAAAATGTTAAAAATAACCCCTAACTTTTAATTTATGAAATTTAATATTTCTGCTATTTTATTTTCCAACATTTTAACTTTCTGCCCCTTTAATTTCCAGTCTTTCATTTTAGTCTCTTCAATTTCCAGCACTTAATTTTTCTGTATTTTCATTCTTGCGTCTTAATTTGCATTTCTTTTGTTCTAGTCACCAATATTGCTTCTGGTTTGTTTATTTCCAGCACCTATGCTCTTCATTATTTATATTTCAAGCCTTGTTTATTCTTTATTTTGTTTATATCATGTTTCAAATTCTGGCTGTTAACTTACGAAATATTCATGTTGGTTCCGTATTTATGATATTAGAGAGCAAATAGTTGGCTTATAATTTAGACTTAAAGAACTTGATCACCTTTATTATTGCTACCCCTAGTTAGAAATAGGAATCTTCATAGACTTATAGTATGTTTAGTCTTTAATATTTTTTGTTTAGGTTAGATTAGTCCCTTAATTAATGTTTATTGACTTATTCATTTAATCATTATTATTTTTAATTTGTTCATTATGACACTACTCCTTTTATGCACATATCTTCATAATATATATGTTACTATTCAAACTTTATTTATTTATAGGTCATGATATTTCTCTTACATATTCGAATGATAATTTTTTTTGTGAGGGAAATATATGAAGACATCTCCCAACTACAACGGAAGCATGTCTTCAAGTATTTTTCGCACAAAAGTCCTTTTACATTCGATTGGTTTTACTTTATCATGTTGTTTATTTTATTACCTTATTTTACTTTATTTTATTTTATTTAGTATTATTATTTCATTTTATTTCGTTTTTATTTATTTATTTTATCTTTATTTTTAAAAATGTAAGACATTATCTTTTTGTGAGGGGAATCCGTAGAAAAGTCTCCTAACTATAAAGGAAATACATTTTCGAGAATTGTTGTAATACCCCAAACATCGAGTCAGTGATTAAAATGTAAGGAATTAAAAATTTAACTTTTAAATTTGATAAATTGAAAAGTTCAAGGACTGATTTTTGAAATTTGTGTGGTCTTTTAGTAGGAATAAATTTAAATTCATTTTTAAAGGATATTAAAATGGAAAGTAAGAGAAAAAAAAAAGTTTGGAAGCACTTTGGTTATCTTCTCTTCTTCGTCTCTTCCACCGTGACTCCATTGCTAAGGTGAGATATGTTTCAAGTTGGTTGTTTCTTTAAATTTGTGGGTTGGTTTTGAAGCTTTGAGTGGTATAAAAGATTAAGGAAGCTTAAAGATGAGAGAACTAAGTGATTAAGGAATTAATGGTGAATTAGTAAAATGGGTTTTTAATGAGAAATTTGGTTAGTAATTAGATTCTAAAGGCATATTTAACTTGTCAAAGGTCTAATTAATGTATTTGAAGTATTAGAAATGATTGAGGACATGTTTGAATATTTGATATGATTTTTAGTTTTAAGTGTTCCATAGAGAATTTGGATGTTAAAAGGGAATTAACGGATTTAAGTTGGTTGTGATAAGTGTTAGTAAGTTTAAGGGTTTGATTGGAGCTAAAAGTATGAGATTTAGGTGAATTATGGGTAAAATTCGAAGTGAAATAGGTAAATTCTGGGCAAGGGTATCAGTACTAGAAAAACAATACTGATACTATAAGGTTAAATTGAAGGAAGTAGTATGAATCGTATGAACAATATCGATACTGATTGAAGTAGTATCGATGTTGATGTGAAGGTATCGTGTAACATCCGCATTACCGGGTTAGTGACCAAATTGTAAAGTTTCAGAATTTGGTGACTAAAGTAGGATAATTGAATAGTTCAATGACTTCTTGGAAATATATGAAGGTTATTCAATAATTATTAAGGAAATAAAGGTAAATGGTCATTTGATCATTTAAGAAAAAAAAGGGAATTATATACACTGGAGAGGGAGAGAATTCTCCAGAATTCTCTTCTCCTTTATTCTTCTCTTCACGTGGACCAAGAGCAAAGGTTTTGATTTAGCTTATGATTTCTTGAAAGTTTAAGTTGGATTTGAGTCTTTGAGGGTTATATAAGCTTAAGGAAAGCTTATATCAGCTTAAACACCAAAGAGATAGAATTAGAAAGGAATTTCTATTAGGGTTTATAAATGAACTTTTGTTATAGAAAGGTTTTTGAAGTTCTAAAGTTGGATTTGACTTGTCATCAGCTTAATTAAGAAGGATTAAGTGTTAGAATTGGATTTAGAACATATAGAAAATTTGGTATGATTCTTGAATCTCATAAAGAAGATAGGATTTTGAGGTTAAAGATGATTTACATGGATATAAGTTGGTTCAAGTTAGTAGTTGAGTTTAATGTCAAAATAGGGGCTTAAAATAGAAGAATTAAGGGAAGAGTTGATGATTTACGTGCTAAAATGTCAGTTCTGGGCAATGTGCATCGATGCACATTCATTGTGCACCGATGCATCGATAAATATCAGAAATTGTTTAAGGTGCATCGATGCACATGCAGTGCATCGATGCATGAATTTAAATAGAAAACATCGAATATGATTTATGCATCGATGCATAAGGAGTGCATCGATGCATCCCCATTAAATACAACATCGAATAGGATTATGCATCGCATGGTGTAGTGCATCGATGCATACCTTCATTAAAAGATGAATTGGCTTTTCTTTGAGACTAAGGAGTGAGAGTTTCGAATATATCAATCAGTAACTGATAAGTATTAATGTATTATTATGTAGATAATGAAAGCTTGTTCCAGAACAAACTAAGGATTAGGATTGATTCAAACAACGAGGCCCAGGTGAGTGCATATTCAATAGTATATGATGTGCGATGGGAATAAGACTTGCGACGAGTCTATTTCCTGAAGTGTTACACATGAATGCATGATTAAAGGCATGAATTGAATATGCATGTATGTATGCTTGATTATATGGATTGATCTGTTCTTTATGTGTTAGGTGAGAAAGTATAAGTAATTACATAAGAAAGGTTATGAATTATATGAGATATAAACTATGTGATCATAGTAAAATATAATTATTATTATATGATAAGTGAAATAAGCTGGATAATATTGATCTATAGGATGAAGTGAGAATTACACTAACTAGGAGATTTGAACATAAATGATAAGATGAACATATAATAAGCTAGATGGAAAGATTCATATGTTTAAATAAAACTATAACACATGGGTTGTATGATAGAAATTTATGAAGTTATATGATAAGATTATAGGAGTTATATGAAATTGAATTAAGTAAACAGATTAGATTATATATATATATAAAGAAATAATAGAAGTGAGATGTGTTTATAAGTCTGCCCTAGATGAATATGATATGAATTATAAGAGTGCTATATGATTTGTATTAGGATAAATCTTGAGAATATATATTTATATAGATGGATATGAAATGAAATGAGTTATATGAATACATAATTATGTGATGAAATGGGGGATTACCTGAACATGTGAATATATATATATGTCTAAGAGAGGCATAAGATTAAGATATAAGCAATGTGACTATAAGTATATGTGTGCTCTAAGTGATATGACTTATAGGTATTTCTATTATAATGTTCATAATATGTTATGTATGTTAAATGAATTATGTGAGGGTATAAATGATGAATATATATGTGAAAACAAGTATATGTTATGAGATAAGACCTATGACTATAAGCTACGTGAAAGTGTTATAGGTGTTTCGATATTATATGAAGTATATGATCTTATGTGAACAAGATATGATAAGTATGTTTACATGAATAAAGGTGATTGGGTGAGAAGATAGAAATTATAAAACATGACATATGTGACATGTGAATTATGAAAATGATCTACGTGTAAGTGAATTACGTGACTATGTGATAATATGAAAAGAAGCTACGTGATACGTGATATGTGAAAGTGAATTACAAGTTTATGTGAATATCTGAAATGAAATAAATGATAACGCCCATGTTATGTGTCATGAGAGCTAGGGTATAGTTGGCATGCCAAGAGTCGAGGGTCTACGCGGTCCTTCGGGATATATATATATTCTGTGGAACATGTGTGAAGTCTTGAAAGACACATACTTGATCCCTAGCATATGTATATGATTCTTAAGGAATTCTATGTGGTCCTTATGGACATTATTATATGGCACTACGGTGCAATTCTACGCGGTACTTCGGTGTAATTATACGCTGTGGTGACACATTAGTGCACAACCTCTATAGACTCACATATCGATAGTTCTCACATACGTACATGGGCTAATCCGGAGATATGAACAAATATAAGTTCGTGGTATGATAAATGCTATAGAAATGATATGATGTTGTATGTGTATAGTGTTTGATTGAAAAAGTATGTGATTATATGATAAACTGTTAATGATGAATTATGTATATGTATGTATTTACTGCAATTAATCTGATATGATTTTATACGATATGAAAAATGCATGGAATTGCTATAACATGATAGAACAGAACATGCATGTATCGATATATGTTTTAAAGTGCATTATAAGTTGTTATGCCTCACTAAGTCTTCGACTTAGCGTGTGATTGTTTCACACGTAGGTTTCGAGAAGAGTAAAGAGTGATGCGGAGCAAGACAGGTCAGTTTTCCTTACCAAAAGATCAGATCAGAAATATTTGACAAAGTATGTATTTGGTTATGTATAAAGTGTTGGCATGTAATAAGTTATTAAGTACGAGCACTCTGATAAAGTCTGTATTTTGTTTTAAATAAAGTTTTAAATTTCCCGGGATTTTTCTTAAGAGTCAAGGTTTGAAAAGTCAATGTGACACTTCGGACTCGTATCCGGGTCGGATACGGGTTGGGGGTGTTACATATCGATACCAAGGGTGAGGTATCAATACTATAATTAAAGATGGAATTCCAGAATGCCAAAATGGTATCGATACTGAAGTGGGTATCGATACCATAATAGAGAAGTATCAGTACTATAGGTAGAGTACCGATACTATTTAGTCAGAAATGTTAAATTAGGTGTTTTATTTTGTTTATGTAAATGCTAATTGGTTAGATGTTCATTGTGATTCAATATTTATCTTGGATATGTTGATGTGTAGATTGGGATCGAAAGAGCACCGAACAAATCGATATAGTAAAGAGATCGAACGAAAGTTAACAAGATTACGTTTAGGACTTACGTGAGGCAAAGGTGAGAGCAATTTATTATTTTATATTAGATACGAGGACGACTTGCGATAAGCCAACCTCGAAGGTTTTCGATCGAAAATAGTTTATTTATTTTATGCAATATTTTTATGATGTTTTACATAAATTGTATTTATGAAGCACTGTTATGATTTTTATCAGTATGTGAATATGAGATACGTGAATATTTTTTATGTGAAAAGGTTCTACGTGAATATATACTATGTGCATATAATATATGTGGGTAAATGATACTTTGAACAATGTAAAATGAAAAAATTATATGGTTAAAGCCCAAAGTATATGTATGAGAATTAGAGGTATAGTTGGTGTGCCAAGAGTTGAGGGTTCTACGCGGTCCTTCGGGACAAATTCTATGTGGTCCTCCGGGATAAATTTTATGCAGTCCTTTGGGACAAATTCTGTGCGGTCCTTCGGGACAAATTCTGTGCGGTCCTTCGGGACAAATTCTACGCGGTCATTTGGAACAAATCTATGTGGCACTTCAGTGCATATTCTATATGGTATTTCGGTGCAAATTTTATGAGCAGTGGTGACTGCAATTATAGTACACAACCTCAATGTTCTCACATACCTTGAGTTCTCAGTGATATGTCTTGGGCTAATAAAACAAAATGATATAAATTGAGCAATGTGTAACAATATACATGGTTTTCATGAAGTGTATCTTGTTTTATGTATGCAAGTGTTTTTAAATGTGTTATTATGCTCCTTATTTCCTCACTAAGTCAATGACTTAGCGTGTGATTGTTTCACATGTAGGTTCAAAGAGATCCGAAGATTAAAGCTAGGAAGGGACAATATACGCTTGTAGAAGATCATATCAGAACAATTTGAAATTTAAGTTTCTTGTTATTTTGAAATTTTGTTGGCATGTATCATAAAGTTTTAAATTGTAATGCTCTAGCCCGTTTTGTAATTATACTGTTTTAAGTTTATAAAAATATATTAAGTATTTATTTTCATTGTGATTATGAATTTTCAATATAAATACTTGTATAAGGGTTCACCATTAAAATACAAATAAAAGTTTAAACTTTTAACGAATTTTCAAAGAGGCAAAGTTTTAAAAGTCAATGTGACACCTCATATTCGTATTCGGGTTGGGTACGGGTTGGGGGTGTTACAATTGTTCGTATAAAAACATTCATTTATCTGAGCATTTTCTTGAAAATTAATATTATACTATTTTTTAAGAAAATTAAATATATTATCAATAAAATTAAAGAAACATCATTTTGTTAGGGGAATCTATGAAAAAGTTTCCCTACTACAAAGGAAGTGCATTTTCAAATATTGTTTGTGTAAAATGATGTAATTTCTTTTTAAAAAAATAATAATAGTAATAATCGTTTGGGTAAATAAATGGTTTTTTTACATTAATTATTAATTATTCTATAAAATATGTTTGTGCTTTTTAATTGTTGCACCCATTGTATTTATTATTTGTCATTATATTCTTAATTCCAAAGGCAATGTTGTTTTGATTTGGGGAAATCGACAAGTTAGTATCCTAACTCTAAAAGATATCAATCTTTGTTGATTTTCTTGAATCACAAGGACATCATTTTAAATAAATTCGAATGAATGAAATGATCACAATTTAAATATATATTCGAGTTCGTAATTCCAGTGTTTAGACAACATATAATCGTTTGGGTACCAACATATATTCGAACTCTTAAAAATGAATCTTTGGTAAAGAGCATATCGTTTTTCTGTCTTTTATTTTATTTTTCTAAAATATCATTAAAAATATAATTTTTAGGTGTTCGACCTACCTAACCCAAAGGTATGGAGACTTCAAAAATCAAATTGTTTTTAAAACCTAAATTTCACCATCTTTTCTCAAAATTATTTTTAAGTCGAATTGATTCTCGCTCTTCGCTGGGCTGCTAGGGGAAACGTTATGACAACTTGACGACTTTGCTTGAGATATTAGAGACTAAAGCCATAAATGATTATACGTTGTCTTTATTTTTGGGAATTGCAAATTTAAATTGTATTTAATTTATTATCCTTCTTGTTTTATTTTGAGTTTCATCACATCATGCATTATTTTATTTTGAAAAATTAATTTTTGATTTTATTAGTTTTCATATCTGAAGAGATTTTTTAATTTATAAAAATGTTATATTTTTGGTTGCGTTTTTTAAGGTTTGTGAGTTTCTCCTCACACACAACTCGTGCATTTACATACCATGAGCTCATTTATTGAGCTTTGTCCCTTTTAAGTTGAGGTTAAAGCTTAGCCTACGTGAGATAATTTATTTCTCAGCATAGGTTTTAGCAAGTAACTTTTGGGGTTCATATACCTTATGTCTACGTGAAATAAATTGTCTCTCCGCATGGACATAAGGGAATGTGTAACACCCATTTCCTTATACGTTTCCTTACACAAGTCACAAGTGTCACATGACTTTTAAAAACATTTTTCTTATTTGAAAACCCATAGAATTTTGTTTCGAAAATAAAAAAACATTTTAATATAAACTAAAACATTCGTTGTAACATATTACAAAATTATAACTTTAATAC